AATGTAAGTAAGATATTCATTTCACACTGTACACACCTTCAGTGATTATAATGGAAGTTTTTGAGAGTGCTTGAACGGCTAGACTGAATGAAAATTTTCTTTGATAATAGAAATGTACTTTGCTCTCTTTCTGTACAATGAAAGTGGTATAATTAGTAACTTACAACGTTTCTATTAAATTCACATTTAATACAAAGTCGGTCGTATTAAAAATATTTTATGACAGGTTTTTATGTGTAGTTAATAAATTACACTATGACTACTTTGCCCATATAGGCTTTATATATACAGTGCCACTTGAAAGTTTGTGAACCCTTTAGAATTTTCTATATTTCTGCATAAATGACACAAAACAATAAAAATTTCACACTAGTCCTTATAGTAGACAAAGAGAACCCAAACAAACAAGTGCGACAAAAATATGTTCTTTGTCATATATTTATTCAGGAAAATAATACAATATTACATATCAGTGAGTGGCAAATGTATGTGAATCTCTAGGATTTGCAGTTAATTTGAAGGTGAAATTAGAGTTTTCAATCAGTGAAATTACTATCAGGTGTCAGTGCGTGCCCCGTTTTATTTAAAGAACAGGGATCTATCAAAGTCTGATCATGTTTGTGGAAGTGTATCATGGCATAAACAAAGGAAATCTCTGAGGACCTCAGAAAAAGAGGTGCTGTTGCTCATCTGGCTAGAAAAGGTTACAAAAACATCTCTAAAGAGTTTTGACTCCACAAATCCACAGTCAGACAGATTGTGTACAAATGGAAGAAATTCAAGACCAGTGTTACCCTCCCCAGGAGTGCTCCACCAACAAAGATCACTCCAAAAGCAAGACGTGTAATAGTCTGCGAGGTTGCAAAGGAACCCAGGGTAACTTCTAAGCAACTAAAGGCCTTTCTGCATTCTAAAGGAATTTTCCTTTATTAATGTTCATGAGTCCACCATCAGGAGAACACTGAGCAACCGCGGTGTGTTATTGGTGCATCCAAAAAGAACATTGCTGCCAGTCTGCAGTTTGCTAAAGATCATGCAGACAAGCCAGAGGGCTACTGGAGAAATGTTTTGTGGACAGATGAGCCCAAAATAGAACGTTCTGGTTTAAATGGGAAGCATTATGTTTGAAGTAAAGAACACACTGCATTCCAGCATAAGAACCTTATCCCATCTGTGAAACATGGTGGTGGTAGTGTCATGGTTTGGGCCTGTTTTGCTGCATCTCGTCCAGCATGGCTTGCCATCATTGATGGAAGAATGAATTCTGAATTATACCAGCAAATTGTGAAAGAAAATGTCAGGACATCTGTCCGAGAACGGAATCTCAAGAGAAAGTGGGTCATGCAGCAAGACAACGACCCCAAGCACACAAGTTGTTCTACCAAAGAATTGTTAAAGAAGAACAAAGTTAATATTTTGGAATGACTGAGTCAAATTCCAGACCTTAATCCAACTGAAATTTTGTGGAAGGACCTGAAGCAAGCAGTTCATAGGAGGAAACCCACCAACATCACAGAGCTGAAGCATTGTGCAGGACTGATCAGCAGTTACAAGAAACATTACCTGCAGTTATTGCTGCAAAAGGGGGTCAGACCAGATACTGAAAGCAATGATTCACATACTTTTGCCATTCACAGATATGTAACATTGGATCATTTTTCTCAAATAAATGGCAAAGAAAATATGCTGTCTCATTTGCTTGTTTGGGTTATCTTTGTCTGCTTTCAGGCCTTGTGTGATATTTTGATTATGTTTTGAGTCATATTTATGCAGAAATATAGACAATTCTAAAGGGTTCACAAACTTTCAAGCAGCACTCCATCTGAAAGTACGTGATGATGATTTCCTGCTGATTACAGAACCGGCTTTACTAACAAAATGCGCATGACAATCGCATTCGATTAATCGTGCAGCCCTACACTGAATGGTGATACACTATATATATCTCGTTTTTGTTTTTAGAAGGCATCCAAGCAAAAGAGAATGACTCCCTGTCACAATTAGTCTAATTAAAGTAAAAACTTGTGTCAAAAAGCTTTTCTTGTGCTTTTTTTTATTTTTTTTATTTGCCAGATGCTGTGATGACCAACTTCCCGGCAGCAACAGAGTTGGACTTGAGGAATGCAGTTGGGAAGCATTTTAAACAAGAAATAAAACCAATAATTAATAATTTCCTTTAAGTTCACTGTTGGTTGTTTTATTTGTTAAAATAAGTAAACCAACAAAAGGGTTAATCTTTTTTTTTGTTGACATTTATCCATAATGTTTTAATGTTAAGTGTGATAACATGCTGTTGATTTGTATTAGATTTTTAGATTAGAAGTTATTTCAAATATTTTATTTTTTAATTTTTATATTTTACTTAAAGCGGTCATATGGTGCTATTTCAAATTGTCCTTTTCTTTAAATGTGTTATGTAGCTATTTGTGCATGCATAAGATCTGCAGAGTTACAAAGCTCAAAGTTTCCCACAAAAGGATTTATTCTATCTAAAAGAGAAGGCTGATCTAGACCGGGCTAAAACGCCTCATTCAAACACGCCCCCACATGTCTACATCACGATGTGGAAATATTTGCTAATGCCGCCAAAATGTTCACGCAAAGAAAGAAGGCGTGGTTTCAGCAACCGCAGTAGTGTTGATGCAGCCATGTCAGGGAGACGCTGTGTGTTTCTGTGCGAAAGCAAAAGCACTTTATTTGGCCTTCCGAAAGTAGATGCAATGAGGAATCATTGGTTAAGATTTATTTACAGCAGAAGAGCACAACCCAAATGTTAGAATTTGTGCAATGCATTTTATGGACGACACTTTTGTGAACTTAGGAGAGTAGACTACAAGGCTGGCTGTGCAAAGGCTATTTCTAAAATAAATGGGTCAATTCCGACTTTGCTATGACAATCTGGCGCTTATTCTGAATCAGCTACTGTAAGTATGTTTTCTTAATAGTTTAAGTATTTGCTACTGACTGTCTAAATGCGGAGTTTTGCGCCGTGTAGAGTATCGCGTCGTGTGTGTGTGTGTGTGTGTGTGTGTGCGTGAGAGAGAGAGACAGGGTCACCTCACAGTGGAGTCAGCTTTCTTAATCACGGCTTTGTGTCCGCCAATACATATGAGCATCATCACTGTGTCTGTCACGCAACTCTGTTCAGCTTTCGGGTTTGAACTGATGGTAAAACTAAGGACATTATTTACGGTCTTTACATTTATGTTGAAAGCTGAAGCTCGCGATTATGGAAAGGGGCGTTATATTTCCGACGCGTACTTGTGGTGTTCGGCCAATCACAATGCACTGGGTCTGCTGGCCAATTAGAGCAGACTGTGCTTGTCGGAAGGAGGGGCTTTGTAGAAAACGACGCGTTTGAGAGAGGCGGGGCATAGAGGACCTACAATAATGTACAGTATTTGAAAAATAATGTTTTTTTGAACATTAAAGCATGTCAACATATTCTGTTAGACCAAATAATGATCTTTAAAATAGCATCATATGACCCCTTTAAGTTGTTAAAAATTCCAGATTTTTTTATCATAATATTTATATTTGTGTATTGTATTTATAATATTTCATCATTCATTATTTTGTATTTTTATCATTTTGTATTGTCTTAACTTGTTAATTTTATTTTTCTTATTAAAATCTGTATATGTAATTTGTTTGGATGGATTGCCATTTTGTTGTCTATTATATGTATATATGTATACATATAGGCATTCGTTAGCTGTCTATTTGATGACTAGTCTATTCTTGGGCTATGGTTAGACATCTATTATGGGGCAGTCATGACCTAATGGATAGAGAGTCGGACTTGTAACCCGAAGGTTGTGGGTTGGAGTCTCAGGTCTGACAGGGATTGTAGGTGGGGAGAGTGAATATCCAGCACTCTCTCCACCTTCAATACCACGACTGAGGTGAGACCCTTGAGTAAGGCACCGAACCCCTAACTGCTCCCCGGGCGCTGCAGCATTGTGTGTGTGTGTTTGTTCACTACTCACTGCTGTGTGTGTGTGTGCACTTGAATGAGTTAAATGCAGAGCACAAATTCCAAGTATGGGACACCATACTTGGCCACACGTCACGACCTTACCTTTCTTATTAAATATTCACTGACAGCCCAAATGTAGCCTTGTTTTAGCCTAGACGTCTGTGTTTGGACGGCTATTAGACGTCTTTTAAACTGAAAATTGCTTGCTGGATGGCGACAAGTGACTGTGTTTTGTCGTGTCTCAATTGTCTCCATCCCTAATCAAACACACCTGAACAACCTAATCAGGGTCTTCAAGATTAGGCAGCAACAGGCAGGTGAGTTTCATCAGAGTTGGAGTTGTGCCAGGCCTCCTTGGATCCTTAAAAACTCATTTTCAAAACGTGTCTTAAAAGCCTCCTGACTCACTAAATCAGTGCATTTTTCAGCAGAGTGTATAGTGAGGTCGCAGGTTGAGAGGATGACAGCTCGAGTATGCTGCTCGTTGATTGCTGCTTTATTTTGTGTCTCTGTATGTTTGAGCACAAGAGCTGAAGGAGCAGCCACAGGTGAAGTGCGAAAAAAAATATATAAATAAGAACTTATAAAAAAGGGCTTTAGGCACACATCAAAACGTATAAAAATACACTAGCCTACCAGACGTTCAGTGAAAGTTAAACTTTGTGTTGGTGTAGTTTGAGTCATTAAGATTGCTGTTATCTGTTTATATTTCTTTAAGTAAACAAGGAAAACACAATAACCAAGATTGACATTATTGTTGTACTATAGCTACAAAATTATGTACGTATGTGAGGTCGCAGGTTGAGAGGATGACAGCTCGAGTGTGCTGCTCGTTGATTGCTGCTTTATTTTGTGTCTCTGTATGTTTGAGCACAAGAGCTGAAGGAGCAGCCACAGGTGAAGTGCGAAAAAAAAAATATAAATAAGAACTTATAAAAAAGGGCTTTAGGCACACATCAAAACGTATAAAAATACACTAGCCTACCAGACGTTCAGTGAAAGTTAAACTTTGTGTTGGTGTAGTTTGAGTCATTAAGATTGCTGTTATCTGTTTATATTTCTTTAAGTAAACAAGGAAAACACAATAACCAAGATTGACATTATTGTTGTACTATAGCTACAAAATTATGTACGTATTTTTTACAGTAAATGGGTCTATTCATTTGGCTGCAGGGTTGTTACCAGGTACGTATACCATCACTCCTGAGCTCCTTTTTTTATTATTTTTATTTTTTATCATTTTCCAAATGTTTTGTTCTTTACATGGAATGTAGCATCTGGGCTAATCATGACTTGTAAGCCTTTAATGAAGTATTAAAATGCTTGACGTGTAACTGTGGTGGTCATGGTATATGAGAAGTATTTATTTGTATAGATTGTATTAAAATGGACTGCTGTGTTTTATGTTGGCATTACTATGCACTACACCACCAGTAGTGAGGCAGGTTCTATGTTGTAATGTCCCTCCTTGCCTTTGAAATCGTTTAGGGATAAATGGTGGACTTTTAAACTACTTTGGTTATACAGACAAATTTGTCTGTTATACTTTAGTTTGATACATGTCACACAACCACTGACTTGCAAGTTCTGAGAAAGTGATTTCAGCACTCTGTGGTCTCCCCTAATGATCCTGTTGAATCCTCTTCATTAGTGGCCGGTCAGTGTCTGGTGACGCTGATGGTTGTGTAGAATTTTTTTTCTAATAAAGATTGCTCCAGAAGACATGCATGCTTTCGATATGATTGTGGGGCTGTATGTTTACTCCCTGCTTTAAATGAGTTTCAATTAATCGTGAATGTTAGAGGTTTTCCAAAGAAATGCTGAAAAAAAAAAAAACAAACTAAATTCTCTCAATTTGCTAGTTTCATGTAATTGTGAAGAAACCACAAGCAAAACGTTGATTTGAAATTTTGAAGGAGATTGACTTAAAAAAAAAAATTTTTTTTTTTTTTTGTCGTCTGTTTTGTATGTCAGCAGAACCAACAAAGCCAGGAGTGTGTCCTAGAAATGATCTTGAAGTAGCAGTGTCAGTGTGTGTTGAGATGTGTTCTCATGATGGTGACTGTCCAAAAGATGAGAAATGCTGCAGCAATGGATGTGGACATCAGTGTATGCCTCCATATAAAGGTATTTATATTATTATATTAATGTGAGTTCAATTAGTTCTTAACATTTTTAAATGCAGTGAGGCATTCTGTGATCACTTTTCTCTATCGTACGGTGGCCGAGAGGTGCAGAACAAATCACAATTCTGAAAACAAAATAACAAATTACAAACGCAAATGCAAGTCTACAAAACAAAATAACAATTCAGAAAGCACAACAATTCAGACAAACCGGAAAAGTTGGGTATAGTTTGAGACGGTGCCATTGGTTTGGGATTACTCACCGCTGACTGGACGAGACATCTGTCAATCAACGTATACAGGGAAGAGCCAGCCGAAGAACAGCTGACACTGAAGACTGGATTAATGATGCTGAAAATGTAGCTTTGATTACAGAAATAAATGTAAAAATTATATTTAAATAGAAAGCAGTTATTTTAAATAGTAAGAATATTTCACTATTACTGCTTTTGCTGTATTTTGGATCAAGTAAATGCAGGCTTGGTGAGAAGCAGTGACTTAAAAAAAACAAAACAAATATTACTGTTCAAAAACTTGAGTGGTAGTGTATGTATGCATCACACTCATATCGCATCTAGTTGTTTTGGATAAGAATAAAATGTCAGGTCCGACAATATAGTGTCTTATTTTTATTTTTTAAATCTAGATTTATTCACATTGGCCCATGGAAACCTCTATGAACACATTTGACTTGACCAAAAAAAGTGAGGGGGGGGGGGGGGGAATTTGCTTTTTAAAGTTTGTATTCTACACATGGCGCACACATTAGGATAGGTTAGATGCCTGCCTCGGTTGTGAGTCCCTATCAAGCACTTTACCGATTCAACTACTCTGTTCTCCTCCTTCTGCCTTGCTCTTACTCACCGCAGAGAAAGCCTGTTCTTGATAAATCTGCTGTGAAAACATGGGAGAAGCCAACGAGGAACCAGTTGGAGTGAAGCGATTTTTATATTGGCGGAGCGAAGTACTTTATCGCTCCGTCTATAGTGCATTGTGATTGGGTTGTTTATGCTGCCAATACAGGAGACAATTCAATGGGCTGCTCGCTGTCCCTGTGCGATGGTCCTTGGCAAAAAAAAAATAACCTTGTTGGCCCACTGGGAAAATGCCCGATTACCAATCCAGCCCTGGTCAGCTTGCTTTCCGTGTATGGGAATTTATTTATTTTTTTGTCCGCAGAACCAGAAAAGCCAGGAGTGTGTCCAAAAAATCCTGAAGTAGCACTTTTAGGGGGGTGTGTTGAGAGGTGTTCTCATGACCGTGACTGTCCAAAAGATGAGAAATGCTGCAGCAAAGGATGTGGACAACAGTGTATGCCTCCATATAGAGGTATTTGTAATATTGGTGTGCGGGTCAGCTGCTTTTTTCCCCCCATTACAGAGATTGAATCATTCAGTGATCTGGTTTCCCTGTTGTGCTTGTATAAAAGAAAAGCCAGGAGTGTGTCCAAGCAAAAACCTTGGAATAGGAGTGTGTGCTGAATTGTGTTCTCATGACAGTGACTGTCCGAATGATGAGAAATGCTGCAGCAATGGATGTGGACATCAGTGTATGTCTATCTAAAGGTATGTTATATTAATGCATTGGTCAGATTCTCTACCCCCTGTTAACTGGACAGACTGTTTTAAATTGGTGGTAGTTTCTTGAACCGCAAATCTGCATATCAGAATGATTTATGAAGGATCCTGTGACACTGGAGTAATGATGCTGAGAATTTAGCTTTGATCACAGAAATAATATATATATATATTTTTTTATATATATATAAATCGAAAGCAGTTATTTTTAGTAAGAACATTTTAATATTACTGCTTTTGCTGTATTTTGGATCAAATGAATGCAGGCTTGGCGGGTAGAGACTTTATAAAAAAAAAAAATTACTTTTACAA